TATGAGATCTCGCTGCATTAAGGGGCTTTAGAGGGTGTCCAGCATGTCTCCATCTTAACACAGGAAACAAGGCCCATATTAGAATTACCCGCGCGCGACCCTCTCCTGGCCGCTTCCGCCGCTGCCCGCTGCGCACCGCCCTCCCGCCTGAGGACCTGCGGGTGCCCGCGGCGGCGCCTGACGGGAGTGGGGTCCCGGAGCGTCCTTCCGTCCTGTGCCCGCAGCCGGCGCCCTTCTCCCGAGCGTGGTCTGGGGCGGGCAAAACGCCCTCCGGATTAGTGTCGCGCAGGGTGGCGGCTGCACACACAGGCGGTGCAAGACCGCCCGCGCTAGGACCCGCCGGCCCGGAAACGCTTGCTGTCACAAAGGGGGCAACACGTGGGGGCGACGCGTGGGCGCAGACGGCCAGGGCAGCCCGGAGAACCGCCCACTGTCTCGGCCACCTGACTCCTCGGTCCCAGCCGCCAGGTCGGTCCAGCTTCGGCCGGCGCCCGGCTGTGAGGTGGACGCCCGAACTCCGTCTGATCACCTCCCTCCAGTACGTACATGCGCCTCTAACCCGCGTCCTAGCAGACACCGCGGGGCTCCTCTGAACTTGCCACTGTCCCCGAGTCCCCCACTGTCGCTTCCACTCCAAGAGCCGGACCCTCGGCTCTTGAGGCCCAATTAGACCTTCCAGCCCTGGGAGGCCTCGCGCACCTGCGGTAGAGGAGACCCATGAGAGTCTCCTTAACTCAAATAAAATCCCCCTGGTCCCTCAGTCTTCCCGGTCTCTTTCTCCCTAGGTCTTTTCCACCTGGTTCGGACGCCTGCATAATCATGTCCATCCTCTACGTCTCCCCTCACCCCGATGCCTTCCCCAGCCTCCGAGCCCTCATAGCTGCGCGCTACGGGGAGGCTGGGGAGGGGCCGGGGTGGGGAGGGGCCCACCCCCGCATCTGTCTCCAGCCGCCTCCGACGAGCAGGACTCCCTTTCCCCCACCACGTCTGCCCGCCCTGGAGCAGGGGCCCGGTGGGCTCTGGGTGTGGGGGGCTACAGCTGTGGCCCAGCTGCTGTGGCCAGCAGGTCTGGGGGGCCCTGGGGGCAGCCGGGCAGCTGTCCTCGTCCAACAGTGGGTTAGTTACGCAGACACGGAGCTAATACCAGCTGCCTGTGGGGCAACGCTGCCCGCCTTGGGACTCCGCAGCTCTGTCCAGGACCCCCAGGCGAGTGGGAAGAAGAGAGGGAGGGGGATATGTAGAAGAAGAAAGCAAGAATAGGAATGGATAATGAGACAGGAAGATAGCGTGTCAAATGTGGAAAGAGATTAATCAAATCCCAGTTTGCCACCTGGTATGGTAACCTCTCAGCCTTGGTCTTTCTGTGCCAATGAAAGGTTTAGTTTTCATGTTGAGGAACTTGTGGAGAACAAGTTGAGAAGATCAAAAAATGGGTGCAGAGTGCGTAGTCTAGCGCCAGGCACTTTGAAGTCTCTGAGTAAAAGTTTGATGAGTCTGAAACTGATGATAGAGATAACTGTGAATAAGGCTTGGTAAAGGAGAGAGGAGGAGAGGCAGGTAGGGCCAGGAGAGGAGATGATATGGGAGGAGATGAAGGAGAAATGAAATAAGGAGGAGGAAGATAACCACACCAGATTACAACTAAGTCCTTCCAGAGTGGCTTGTGCCTTAGGGTCATTATTGCACTGCTTCCTTGCAGAATATTGAGCACACAGCGGATACTTAGTATTTCATTCATTCATGAACAAATGAATGAATGGATGGATGGAATATGTGACTTAGACCCTGGCTTGCTCCCCAATGTCCCAATTACCCTATCTAAAATAGAACACACACACACACACACTTCTCTATAATTCCTTGTCTGCCTCAGCCTGATTTGTTTTTCTTCATAGCATTTAAGAAAAATAGGGTAATGCATTTATATATTAGCTCATTTATTGTTTCCCCCATTAGAATGTAAACTCCACCAGGTCAGAGGCTGCATCTATTCATGTTCTTTTCATTCCGTAGAGAAGTACCTGGCATATAGTAGGTGCTTAATAAATGTGTTGCCTCATGTAGTCTTTAACTTCCTGTGCTTAATATATTGCATCTGACACATAGTAAGTGTTGAGTAGGAATTTTCTGAATGGAAGGAAAGTCTTTATGACTATTTCAGTGAAGATGAAACTGGCCTCAGGGGTGATCTGTGGGAGTGAAGGAGGCCAAGCCTTGTCTCATACTCCTCTTTCCTGCTAGGCTGCACTGGGGGCCCTGGGAAGAGCTCTGAGCCCCTTGGAAGAGTGGCTTCGGCTACACACCTACCTGGCTGGGGAGGCCCCCACTCTGGCTGACCTGGCGGCTGTCACAGCTTTGCTGCTGCCTTTCCGATATGTGAGTCAGTAGGGCCTAGAGAAGAGTGAGGGCAGCTCGCTTCACTGTACGGTAACTAAGGATAGTCCATTTCGTTTCCTCATCCCAGGTCCTGGACCCCTCTGCCCGCCGGATCTGGGGTAATGTCACTCGCTGGTTTATCACATGTGTCCAGCAGCCAGAATTCCGGGCTGTACTGGGAGAGGTGGTTCTGTACTCAGGGGCCAGGCATCTTTCCCAACAGCCAGGTGAGGAAGGGGTAGGAGGGGATGAGTTCCTTGGGGTCTCCCATGCAGCTTACTTTCTGTTTTCTCTTCAAAATGGCAGAATCACTGGGGCAGGGGCCTCTGGGAGGGTAAGGTGGGAAGTCAGCATGGGGGAGCCCTTGGGCAGCTGAAATAGCTCATTTGAGATATATCAGTGTTCACGGAGGGCTCCCAGTGGGCTAAGTCTGCATTTCTGTGCCTCTCACCAGGCCCTGAGGTCACTGCACCCCCAAAGACAGCCGGCCAACTCAAGAAAGAAGCAAAGAAACGGGAGAAGCTACAGAAATTTCAACAGAAGCAGAAGATCCAACAGCAGCAGCCACCCCTAGGGGAGGTGAGAGGCTAAGGGTAGAAGTGGAAGGGAGGTTGGTACCATTATGGGGTGGCTAATATCTGCACCTATATTCTTTCCCGCCCAAGCAGAAGAAACCAAAATCAGAGAAGAGGGAGAAACGGGATCCTGGAGTCATTACCTATGACCTTCCAACCCCACCTGGGGAAAAGAAAGGTACTAGGAAAGGGAAGGGACCCTTCACCTCTACTGTCTTCAGCTGCTGCTGCTTCTGTTTTTACCCCTTCCTGCTTTGTACTTGTTCCCACTGCTTTGCTTGTGAAGATCTGCAGAGCCTCCCAATGCCTGTCCTGTGACATGAACAAAAGAGGCCCAGGTCCTTCTCTGCTGGCCCATCGTCCCCTTCCCAGCTGTTCCCAGCCTCTACACAGACCCCTCCCTTTCTTTCTCCCAGATGTCAGTGGCACCATGCCTGACTCCTATAGCCCTCAGTATGTGGAGGCGGCCTGGTACCCTTGGTGGGAGCAGCAGGGTTTCTTCAAGCCAGAGTATGGAGTGAGTGTGCACGGCCACCCAGACCTGGAGGGGAGGAGGTGGGAAAGGGCAGGGGTGAAGAACACATTGCCCAGGAGGGGACTGGGAGAGGTGGCTTGAGGCCTTAGCTCATGCCTGTCCTCCCTCCCCCATAGCGTTCCAGCGTGTCAGCACCAAATCCCCGGGGCATCTTCATGATGTGCATCCCACCCCCCAATGTGACAGGCTCCCTGCACCTGGGCCATGCGCTCACCAACGCCATCCAGGACTCCCTGACCCGATGGTGAGCTTCTGTCCTCTCCAACTGGTTCCCTCTGCTTTCTCTTGCCTTACTGGAACCCTCTGGCCTCTCTCCTTCCATATTGGCCCTCAGCTCTGCCCTCTGGTGGTGCTACACTTCTCTCTGCCTCATTCCCATCTGATCACTTTGAATCTTCCCCTAGGTAAGTAACCAACACTCCCACTTGGCAGACTCCCTTCTCTCCATTCTCTTGCTACTGGAAATAACATTACTTGAATCAAACAAGAAATATGTGAAATATTCTTGTTATAAGGAATTGAAAGCTTCAAGTCTCCTCAACCACTCCTCCAGACCTATTCCATCCCCAAAACTGTGGATTTTTCTAGATCTTTCCTGTCTATTACATGTACATGTACCCATAGAAATTTATAGTTTTCTTTTTGAGTGGGTTTTTCTTCTATTCTTTAACATAAAGAGCTCATACCATAAAGAGCCCAAACATTATTCTTCAACTTTCTTCTTACACGTAACAGTTTATTTTAAAGATCTATCCTTATTCGTAGACTGACTTCATCATTCGCTTTCATTGCTCTGTAGTATTCTGTAGTGTGACCATACTGTAATGGAGTCATTTTATATTAATGGCTCCTAATTTTCTCTGTTGAAAACCTTGCTGGAATGCATATTCCTGCACATGCTTTCCCAAGCACATGTGGAAGGATTTCTCTGGTGGAACTACCAGGAAGTAGAACTGCTAGGTTGGAGGGACATGCCTTTATTAAGTACAAATAGAAGCTGCCAAGTTGCCCTACAAAACAACTTCGACGATTTATATCTCCATGACTTGCATGTGAGAGTATTTGTTTTCCCGTGCTCTTGCCAACTCTGGACATTCTCGGTCTTCATTTTGCCAATCTGATGGGCAAAAAAAAATGGCACCTCTGTAATTTCTAATCGTCGGTGAGGCTCTACCTCTTCATGTTTCTGGGCCAGTCTGATTTCCCCTTATGTGGATTATCTGTATGTACCTACCCTATGCCCATCTTTCTACTGATTCTTTGTTGTTGTTGTTTCTTTTTAAATTGGTTTATTGGAAGATTCTTTACATATTCTTTACATATTCTGGGTATTGGCTTTTCGTTTGTTATATGTTGTAAATGTCCCCATTGTTAATATTTTAATTAGTTAACAAATAGAAAGTCTAATATTAATATTCCAGGTGACAAATTTCTTAAACTTTTAAAACAACTTTTTGTCTTTGGAAACCAGGGTTATTTATCATGTTTTAAATTTTGAGATGTTTTCTTATTGTCTTACTTACTAAATTAATTTGGTCAAAAAATACTTACAGGACATCACTATGTGCCAGCTCTGGGCACTGGGGGTATTATGTGAGATTAAGCATTTTGAAAGGAATTGAGAGCTGGAAAAACAGTTGTATTAAATACTCATAATATGTAATGGCCAACTTATTTACATGAGAATAGAATTAACATCTCATATTAAACTCAGGGTAGCAACATTTTTTTTATGAACATGATTTAAATAAAATATTAGAGACTCCCATTACTTAAATGGAATAGATTTATATCAGTATTTTTAAGTCAAAAATAGCATGTGCAATACAGCCTTAAATATCTTTAGCAATAAGACATTATAAAAATGAAATAAAAGTGAGTCGTATATTTTTTCTTTCTCCAGCAGAGTACGTTGCTTTTTTACAGATACCCATGACATTGATTTATTTTTTGCTAATTTTATATGATCCCCAAGAGATACTTTTAATGAAAAAATATTTTAATATTCCTTTCTTATGCTTCACTTCTTTAATAGTAGTATCTAACAACATCTTGAAGTTCAGAAAATGGTCATATGCATGTGAGATATAAGCAACATTTCTGAGTATCAGTTATCTGTGAGAGTACAGAATTGCTACAATCCCTGTTCCCAAGGAGATCTGAACATAATGGGTGGGGATAAATGGACTATAAAGTAATGACTGTAATACAATTGGATGAGTCTTTGAAAATAACAGGTTATTACAGTGTTATTGTGTTTCTATGGTAATTTCCTTTCCCTTACTTTAATGCACCTAGTATTTCTACAGGGGCACAAAAAGGTTCCTGAGAGTTTAATGCTTCATGCCAGCCACGTAAGCCTAGGGCTTCAGAGTAAACCGCATGCATGTACTTCTATCAATATGGTCAGTGCAGACCCATGATTTCACTCTCTCTAATTCATTTCTTGATTCATTCTCTAAAACATTACTAGCTTCCAATTATTTTCTTGAAAATGGTCTATCACTTAACTTCACTAAGAGGTGTTGATCTGAGGTTTTACGGTTTGCTCTAGTCAGTTCATCAATGTTCGTAGACTTCGAGATGGTGTCTCGTACCTCAGAGTAATACACATGTCCACCTGTGTTATTGTCTTTTTTTTCTTTGAAACTATATCATTTTCTAAGGCTTTTCTCATATGTTGAGTTTTTTATGTTGAGTCTTATATGTTGAGTTCTTTAATCTGACTAGAATTTATTTTTGTGAACATCAGGAAGCAGGGAGATTTTTTCCCAACTAAGTAGCTAGTTGTCCCAAACAAATTTTTTGAATAATTTTTCCTTTTCCTACTGATACAAGGTGCCACCCCTGATAAATACTAACTTGGCTTGGATTTGTTTCGTCACATTTTTGTTCTCTTAGTCTGTAACTTTGTTCCTATGTCATACTTCATGCTTTAATAATCATAGCTTTTCTCATTTGTTCTGCTATCTAGTTGGGCAAGAGCCTTCTCTTGGTTGTCTTTGTACTTCTCCCTCTGAATGTAATTTCAGAATTGAGGGTCCTTCTCCACCACACCTTTCTTTCCCTACCCTGAAGCCCCTTCTTCCTTTAGTGCCAGACTTTACTAGCCCACTCACCTCCAGTGCTCCGTGCTCCTCCCACAGGCACCGCATGCGTGGCGAGACGACCCTGTGGAACCCTGGCTGTGACCATGCGGGCATTGCCACCCAGGTGGTGGTGGAGAAGAAGCTGTGGCGAGAGCAGGGCCGAAATCGGCATGATTTGGGCCGTGAGGCCTTTCTACGGGAGGTCTGGAAGTGGAAGGAGGAGTAAGTGTGCAGCAGCCCTGCTTCCCTGTCCCCTGTCCAGATAAGACCTCTGTCACCTGAGACCCTGGCTGCAGGGTCAGACCCTCTTAAAGAGGCTGAGGGTCAGTGGCCTTAGGACCCAGGTCAATTTCAGAGGATGAGTGAGCCCCACACTGCCCCATTAGCCACCCGCTGTCTCCCTCTAGCCCAGGCCTAAGTGCTGATCCTGCCTGTCTATCCACTTCCAGAAAAGGTGACCGGATTTACCACCAGTTGAAGAAGCTCGGCAGTTCCTTGGACTGGGATAGAGCCTGTTTCACCATGGACCCTGTGAGTATGAGGGGTGTCAGTGCTGGGGCAGGAGGGGGAGGCTCCCCAGAGTGGGACACCCACTGACAAGAAATGTGCTGTGCCCTCCCCCAGGAGGTGAACTCACTTATAGGAAACCACTAAGGGCTCGGCTGCAAACGCCATTTCTCGCCCCATGTCGTGGCCCTTTGTGTTCTCTATCATCCACTCTGAGAGCTCACATTCCTCCAGGTGGCACATGATGGAGCCTCACCATGGAGCCTGAACTCCCAGGATTCTCTGCACTGGCACCTGTCCCTAGCTGAGTGGCTTCCCTGCCAGCTCCAGTATCACCAGGCTTATTGACTGTCCTTATGTTCCCATAGTCCCTTCACCCGCTAAGGGAAAGTATTTCTTCCTCCCAACCCTTAAAGGGGTTTAGGTGCAGGGCAGTGGGACTCTGGACAGGCCAGTATCACTGGACCTTGCTACCTTAGAAAGTCTGCCTGGGCACCTCGACACCTAGCCCCATGTCTAACTACCCTGCACCACCCTAGAAATTGTCAGCAGCTGTGATAGAGGCCTTCGTCCAGCTTCATGAGGAAGGAGTCATCTACCGCAGTACCCGCCTTGTCAACTGGTCCTGCACTCTCAACTCTGCCATCTCCGATATTGAGGTGTGCTCCTGCCCTTGGCTCTTTCCAGCTCCACCCCTAGCCCTAGTCCCTGGGCCACTTTTCCTGATACCCATTTCACAGGTGGATAAGAAGGAGCTGACAGGTCGCACCCTGCTCTCTGTGCCTGGCTACAAGGAGAAGGTGGAGTTTGGGGTCCTCGTTTCTTTTGCCTACAAGGTCCAAGGCTCAGGTAGGAGCTGGGGCACCAGGATCCTGAGCTGGATGGCATGGGGTGTGGGGAGCGGCCAGCACTAAGATCACAAGGTCTCTTGTCACCCTAGAGAGCAATGAGGAGGTGGTGGTGGCAACAACACGGATTGAGACAATGCTGGGAGATGTGGCCGTAGCTGTACACCCCAAAGATCCCAGATACCAGGTGCAGCAAGGGTGCTACCCATAGTTGGGGGAAGAATGCCGGCTGAAAAGGAGCCCTCACGTTATGTGGGAGGATGGGCACTTAGCCCCCAGCTAAGGAGAGAAAAATTGGATTAGAAGCTCATCTCAGGCCTCCTTTCTAGCTCCGAAGAGGGAATTTGGGTGTTGGGACAGTCAGGATCCTAGGTAGGAATGAGTTAGGCCCAGCCCTTCATGTATTTTTGAGGTCTCCTTCTGTTCCCAGCACCTGAAGGGGAAGATCTTGATCCACCCATTCCTGTCTCGGAGCCTCCCCATCATCTTTGATGATTTTGTGGACATGGAGTTTGGCACAGGTGAGCGAAGGACTGTCCTGTGGGAGAGGAAAGAACCCATGAGGCACAAGCTGCCATCCATCTTTCCTCTTAAGCAAAAGAAAATAAACTTCCCGCAAAGAGGCAGGGTTTGGGCTGGTTCTCAGGGGACTATCTTAGGTGGTCTGGGAGCTGCATCCTTCAGCAAAAAGGGGTGCATGTGGGTGGGAAGGGACGCCAATGAGTACCTTGTGGTCCTGGCACCCACACGTATACCCTAGGTGCGGTGAAGATCACCCCTGCACATGACCAGAATGACTATGAGGTTGGGCAGAGGCATGGGCTGGAGGCCATCAGCATCATGGACTCCCGAGGGGCCCTCATCAATGTGCCCTTGCCTTTCCTGGTGAGACTGCCTGGGTATGGGGGTCACTTCTGGAGACAATAGGGTACCTAGGCACGGCCACAATGAAGCCTATCTTCCACCCAGGGCCTACCCAGGTTTGAGGCCAGGAAGGCAGTGTTGGCGGCACTGAAGGAGCAGGGACTGTTCCGTGGTATTGAGGACAACCCCATGGTGGTGCCACTTTGCAAGTGAGGTTTGGGGCCAGAGAAGGGGGAGGAGGGGCTCCTCAGTGTGCTCACCACCCAGCCTCCTCACCCATGTGTACCTGCAGCCGGTCCAAGGATGTGGTAGAGCCTCTACTGCGGCCACAGTGGTATGTGCGCTGTGGGGAGATGGCCCAGGCCGCCAGTGCTGCTGTGACTCGGGGCGACCTTCGAATCCTGCCTGAGACCCATCAGCGGACTTGGCATGCCTGGATGGACAACATCCGGTATGTCAGGCCTCCCCATGTGGGGAGGGTGACTGGTGGGGCTGAGCCAGGTACAAGCCAGGACAACTACTCCCTTCTCTCTACCATTTGCAGGGACTGGTGCATCTCCCGGCAGCTGTGGTGGGGCCATCGCATCCCAGCCTACTTTATCACTGTCAACGACCCAACCATACCCCCAGGGGAGGTGAGAACTGGGCCAGAACTTGATACTGGTGCACTAGGGGATCTGTGGGTTTGTTGGATCCTTTTTGGGGAGGGGCAGGGTCAAGACGAGGCAGGGGCACCCCCTTGTGTACTCACTCTACCTATGGCAGGACCCTGATGGGCGGTACTGGGTGAGTGGGCGCAGCGAGGCCGAGGCCCGTGAGAAGGCAGCCAAGGAATTTGGAGTGTCCCCTGACAAGATCATTCTCCAGCAAGGCAAGGTGGGGACTTGGGGGTGGGGGGCAGAGCTGGGGCTCTGATCCATACCTCTGTCCCTTTTGACCTCTATCATTTGGATTCCCTCAGATGAAGATGTATTGGATACCTGGTTCTCCTCTGGCCTCTTCCCCTTCTCCATCCTGGGCTGGCCCAACCAGGTACATTTTGGAGACTAGTCAAGACGGGGGTGGGGATAGGGATCTTGGAGGCGTATGCTTGGCTCCCCATCATGCCCTGCTCTGCCCCCAGTCAGAAGACCTGAGTGTGTTCTACCCGGGGACGCTGCTGGAGACGGGCCATGACATCCTCTTCTTTTGGGTGGCCAGGATGGTCATGCTTGGCCTGAAGCTCACTGGCAGGCTGCCCTTCAGAGAGGTGAGAAGCCTGCTGAGACCTCTCCCACAGTCTCTCAACCCTCAGTCACCCTTCTGTACCACAGGTCAGGCTCAGCATGGATGGGACACAGGGCAGGGCCCATGGATAGCTATTGGTGGGCTTTGGGGGACTGAAAGCCAGCCTGGAATCCCCACTCAGTGATTCTGTGCCTGGGCTTCCCAGAGGAGGGAGAGCCTCTAAGTCACCTAAAGGTGCTGAATGGGCTGGCAGGGACATGGAGGGGCCTGAGGTTCAAAGTGAGGCATCCAGAAGCAGAGCCTTGGGGGTGCAATGGAGTCTGAGTGGGAAGACGTAGTTTCACAGGCTCTTTGTTTCTTCCCCACCTCATAGGTCTACCTTCATGCCATCGTGCGAGATGCGCATGGCCGGAAAATGAGCAAGTCTCTGGGCAATGTCATTGACCCTCTGGATGTTATCCACGGAGTCTCCCTGCAGGTAGGGGTGCTGGGCCAGGCTGGGAAGGGCTGTGGGGCTTCGGCCACGGCCCCTGGCCACTCACTCCCACCTCACCCTCAGGGCCTCCACGACCAGTTACTGAACAGTAACCTGGATCCCAGCGAGGTGGAGAAGGCTAAAGAAGGGCAGGTACAGAGGGTGGGCCTGGGCTAGAGTGTGGGCAGAAGGAAGGTGGGACTGGCAGAGGACTCCCGCTCCGACTCCCCCCTGCAGAAGGCGGACTTCCCGGCAGGGATTCCCGAGTGTGGCACTGATGCCCTCCGGTTTGGACTGTGCGCCTACACGTCCCAGGGTACGGGTAGCCCCCAAATCTCTCAGCCCCATTTTTCCTCCTTCCCTAAGGCCCGTCCCTCTCCTCCTCTGCCCTGGGTGAGGGTTGGAAGGGAGGTGGTGAGGACGCACACTTCATTTGCACCCAGGTCGTGACATCAACCTGGATGTGAACCGGATACTGGGATACCGCCACTTCTGCAACAAGCTTTGGAATGCCACCAAGTTTGCCCTCCGTGGTCTGGGGAAGGGTTTTGTGCCCTCAGCCACCTCCGAGGTGAGGACCTGGTAGGCCTGAGGTGGGCAGCACCTACACAGGCTATACGCCTGCCACTCTGGCCTCAGGCACAACCCATGCTGTGTCAGAGTTGCAGCCACTGACTCAGGCCCAGCCCTTTCCCTTGAGGAGCCTCCATGTAGGAGGTAGGGGGACAGAGAAAGCCCAGGGAAAGCCCAGGGCATTGGGGTCCTCCCCCAAGATACAGGGCACATGATGGCTTCAGACTCATCAGGCTCCTTCCTCTGTGGGGTTCTGGCTCCCTCCCCCTGGCTGATCTGTCCACTCTCCCTAAGCCTGGAGGCCATGAGAGCCTGGTAGACCGCTGGATCCGCAGTCGGCTGACTGAGGCCGTGAGGCTCAGCAACCAAGGTTTCCAGGCCTACGACTTCCCAGCTATCACCACCGCCCAGTACAGCTTCTGGCTGTATGAACTCTGTGATGTCTACCTGGTGAGGAGGAGCTGAGTGGGGTGGGGCAGCCGAGCCCTGGGCCTCCCTTTTCCAATGGTGGGCCATGAGACCTGAGCCAGCCTGTCCCCCTCCCAGTTGTCACAGGCACAGTGAGGGCTGGAGGCTAGATCTTTTCCAGCCCTGAGCCCTGTGCTTCCCTGTTTCCTAGGAGTGCCTGAAGCCCGTGCTGAATGGGGTGGACCAGGCAGCCACAGAGTGCGCCTGCCAAACCCTCTATACCTGTCTGGATGTTGGCCTGCGGCTGCTCTCACCTTTCATGCCATTTGTGACCGAGGAGCTATTCCAGAGGCTGCCCCGGCGGATGCCACAAGCACCCCCTAGCCTCTGTGTCACCCCCTACCCAGAGCCTTCGGAGGTATGGGGTTTGGCCTGGAGGGGGACTCCAGTCTGAACCCCCAGCCCTCTTTACCCCCTCCTCTATCCCACAGTGCTCCTGGAAGGACACTGAGGCAGAAGCTGCCATTGAGCTGGCCCTGAGCATCACGCGAGCCGTGCGTTCCCTGCGTGCTGACTACAACCTCATCCGGATCCGACCCGACTGTGAGCCTCAGGCCCCCATATGCACCCAGTCCCAGTTTCCCCTCATCCCACTCGGCAGCCCCATATCTACCCTGTGCCACTGTTCCTTAGTCCACTCTCCAGTATGGCTGCCTCTTTTCCTGTCTTCTTGGGGCCAGGCCTCACCTTCCTCCCTCCTCTGGCAGGTTTCCTGGAAGTGGCTGACGAGGCCACAGGTGCCCTGGCATCAGCAGTGTCAGGCTACGTGCAGGTGCTGGCCAGCGCAGGTGTGGTAGCTGTCCTGGCCCTGGGGGCTCCCGCACCCCAGGGCTGTGCTATGGCCCTGGCCTCTGACCGCTGCTCCGTCCACCTGCAGCTGCAGGGGCTGGTGGACCCGGCCCGGGAGCTAGGCAAGCTGCAGGCCAAACGTGGTGAGGCGCAGCGGCAGGCCCAGCGTCTGCGGGAACGCCGCTCCACCATGAGCTACCCAGTCAAGGTGCCCCTCAAAGTCCAGGAGGCAGATGAAGCCAAGGTGTGTTATATACATGGGTATTTCCTTCCCCATCTTCCACATCTTAAACATGGTCCTACAGCTGCACTCGTTTCAGCCCAGGGAGTCCCATGGGGGAGCACAGAGCCCAGGCCCTTTGAGCAGGTGGGAAACAGCTGGGGTAGGGGCATAGCCGAAGCCACACGGCAAGGTGCAGATGGAGGCAGACCTAGAGCTAGGTACCCTGTCCCACAGCCAGACCCCTCACGCCCCACCTGGTGCCTGGAACATGGCATCCCATGTGCCTGGGGCTCAGCATGGACCACATGCAGACAGGGTGCCCTTCAGGGCAGGAGCAAGGGGTCAACCACACCTAGGGATGGACTCAGAGAGAAACAGCAGAAGAGGCTGAGTAGGGTTACTCACTTGATTCTCCCAGTAGCCCTATCTCAGCATGAAGTTTTACTCTTAACATTTTACAAATGAAGGCTAAATGCCTGCCTGTGTATGTAATCTCTGGGTTTGGCTCCCCAGGTGGGGCTGGGGTTGGGCTGCTGGATGTGGTACCTGGGCTCTGAGGCTCCTTTGTCTTTGGAGACTGACCACTCTGGGAAAAGACAAGATCCAAGGGTCCAATGATGATGGAGGAGAAGCGGAGTGCCAGTGGGGAGGCTGCTGAGAATTTGGGGGTCTGGTCCAGCCAAGCACACACAGTTCCCTAACTAATCCCTGCCTGTGGTCCTTACCTGCCTTTCCAACTCTGATCCCCTCTTGGGCCTGGATCCTCACCACCCCATATTACACTTGCAGCTCCGACAAACAGAAGCAGAGCTCAGGAAGATGGACGAGGCTATCACCCTTTTTCAGAAGATGGTGTGATACACCAGCTCCAACCCACAGTGGTCTACCATGGGACTGGCAGCAATAAATATTTTGCCACAAAACCATATCTTGTCTGTATGTGTAGGTGGGGCTGGGGAAGCGATGCTGAGGGACTGGGTTCCTGAATCTTCAGAGGAAGCCAGTATGAACGATGGGAAGGCTGCAGGAGGTGCCTGTTCCTGGTGGGCAGAAGTGCATCTTTCTGAGTCCTTGACAACAAGCCAGGCCTGAGTCACACTGTGCTGCTGGCTCACTTCCTCCTTTTGACTCTACTCATCTCCGTACTGCAGCCAAGGGAGGCCCACCGTGGTTTTGGCTGCTGCTTGTGGCTTGGGCGACATGAGCTCAGGGGCCAGGAGCTGTAGTCCTGCCCCAACCCTGCTGGGCCTCTGTCCTCCCCCAAGTGTGAGTCTGGCTCAGGTTAATTATAACTGACCTAAGTCCCCTGTGACACCACACCAGGCAGCCCTGCAGTCGTGCCTAGAGACCCAGCTACCAGATAGCGGGGACTTCCTGTGCATGGAGGGTGTCAGACTGAGTGGGGAGGAGTACCCTGGGGGAGGAGTCTTAGACCCCTCCTGCAGCTATATGTCCCTATTGGCCTGATAAGGCCCTCAGATTGGGTGACTGGGGAAAGGGCAGGAAGCTGGACTGGATCAGGTGAGGTGCTTGAGGCAAAGCAAAAGGAACCCAGGCAGGTGTCCATGAGACACGGCCTGCCCTGGGATCACCATTCTTTCCTTGAGAGCCTTCTGTCCCCCAGGTCCGTGTCTCAGCTATGATCCCCAGTGACATGCCCCTATCCCACCTGGGCCCCACAGTGCTACTGCTGCTGTTACCCTCTGCATCTGCCTTCTTTCCCAACATCTGGAGCCTCCTGGCTGTCCCTAGCTCCATCACCCACCAGGACCATAGCGAGGAGGCGGCTCTCAATGTCACTCTGCAGCTTTTCCTGGAGCAGACGCCCCCCAGGTCACCCCTCCCTTCATCTTAAGGACTTCTTGGTAAGCGTCCCAGCTGGATTCCTCCATTTCTTGGGACTTCTACTCTTTGACGGCCTTCCTTGCCAAGAGAAGGGGCCCCCCTTTCTCTTCCCATTTCTACCCCCTGCAGCAACAACACCAAGAGCCTTGGTCCTGATTGATATAGGAGTCTCCCCTCCTTAAGAGGGTCCAGGATTACCCCTCCTTTGTAAGGCCAGAACCCTCAATTCCTTCCACACTCAGCCTTGAGTGCCAGTTGCTGAGGAAACGTGTACAATGGCCCAATCCGAGGGGCTTTCCTAGAGCCTCTGTACACACCCACTCTCCCAGGGTCACACCCTTCCCGCGGATGACCTCTTTGCCTACTTTGGACCTGGATCTCCTTCCTGGTGGTTCCGAGCAGCCTTAGATGAGGTGTCTCGTGCCAATGAAGCCCAGGACTTTTTGCCAAATGACTTGCAGTTTGATGCTTAGAGGCCAGGCCAGGGACATATACTCCTGGTAGGGGCTCTGCAGGAAACCTTGGTGGCGGCCAGAGCCTTTGACCACACCCTGGCTTGCCAGCACTTCAGGGCTGCACTTCATGCTTTGCAGGTGATAACAGAGTTTAGAAAATGGTCAGCGGAGTCTTCACTGACAGTCTTCCAGTTTCCCAGATGGTGCCTTCTTAACCATGTCTCCTTTGCTCTAGAAGGAATTGGGGTACTGTTTGCCAAGACCCTGAGGCTACTCCCTAGTCCCCACCTCTAAACTGGCAGCGCTTCCTGTGGGAACAGCTGGAAAGCCATTTAGCCTGCAGAGTAGTGAGGGCGAGAGAGGAAGGTGCCAAGGTCAGAAGGGTGGGCCTGGTTGGCCACTGAAAGACCCGAGATTGGACTCTGAGTGCGATGGGAAGAAACACTAGGAGACTCCCACCTCAGTAAAGCTCTGGTCTAGGCATTGGGGAGAGAGCAGTGGAGGGGCCTTGGGGTATTGGACATGAGTAGTGAGGGTGGGAGAAGGTTTTCCGGGTGGGGAACTTGAAGGAGTGGTGAGTTAGGGCTGGAGATTGTGAAAACAGACTAGTGCTTTGTTCCCCTTCTCCTCCTTTCCCTGGAATCAGGATTTCTACAGTCACAGCAACTGGGTGGAACTGGGAAAGCAGCAACCACACTCTCATCTCCTCTGGCCAAAGCAAGAACTCAGAAGACTGGCACAAAGTATGGCGGTGATCCCAGTGATTAGGGGGGAGCTCACAGAACCATCTCTTTTCAGCCCACCCAGCCACCATGTCACATCCCACGGTCACATAGGATGTGATGTCATCTCTGGAATGACCTGTGAAGTCTCCCAGTTTAACTAAAGGCCAGGTCAGTTAGGTGGCTTCCCTAAGGTCATACAGGGAAAGACAGAGCCAGGACCAGGTCTGCAGACCTCAGCTGAGTTCTCTGTCTTTCACTTGACTTCCCTCTGCCCACCCACTGGATCACACAGGGCTTTCTCTCACAGTCTTCAACCTTCCAACTGAACAATGACCCAGAAGCTACCTCCTGTCCATTACAAATTCACTTCCTGTCCATAGCTCACAGAGGGCATAATCCCCATAGGATTGATCTCTACATTGCTGGTTTTTCTAGCACAGTCTGTCTCAAATACTCAGTCTCACTACCAGCCCATGAACTCCAGGTTTTAGTTCAGAAAGCCTAGAAAGGTACTATGAAGGCTACCTATGAGCTTTCACCTTATCCCAACTGGGAGGAAAAGCTGAAAAAGCTTGGGGTAGACAGGAATAAGTGTTGGGAGCTGTAGAATCTTGGGTTCTGGACCTCTGCCTTCTCTTCTCAGTGGAAATTCCTGCCTGCTCTGATTGTGAGTTGAGCTGCCCCAGTAATTTGCTGAGCTTTACAGTCCTCACCTCTGGCTACTTTGGAACTCATCCCTCCAAGCCTCCAGATAGCAGACAGGAAAGCCCCCAGAAGTAATAGGAGAAAGTCACTTCCTTTCCTCTGCCCCTGACCCCAGGGATCTCAGTCCTCTAAGCCCCTTGCCCCACTTGCTGTAAAAAGGAGAGGATGTTGAGTTGGGGTTGGTGGATGAAGGCCCACTGAGGTGGCCATGATTTGTGTGTGTGTGAGAGGGCTCAAGGGATCCATTATGTTCTGTGTAACTGAACCCTCCAGATTTACCCGGGATTTTCCTTCCATGAAATGTCATCACCTACTTCTGATCCTTTGTTAAGCAGTGAGAGGGTCAGGCCAGGTCAGAAAGGACCACATTTGCTTAGGAGGCAGAGGTTGTTTTTTTTTTTTACTTCCTCCCTCCAGATCCCTTTTCCTAACCCAGGGAAATGTAACCATGGGGCTGTTTTGACCAGAGCAGCTCCCAGCCACCACAGGGAGGCATCAACAAGCATAGTACATCCCCAGGCTTCTCCTCCGCCACCACATGCTGCACCTCTAGGCTGCAAAACTGGCCCTTCTGGCCTCCCTCAGGCCTTCAGCCTCCTGCAAAGCTGCCTGGGAGACAGAGATCTCTCCAGGTGAGTGGCCTCCTAGAGATGGGGCTCCCTAAGGGGTAAGTGCTCCTGGGGGAGCTAAGAAACCCAGGGCTGGGAACAAATGTGCCAAACCTTCACTGTTTCACTGGGCTACTCCCCAGGCTGCTGGACATCACCCCAGCCTCCAGCCTGAGCTTCATCATGGACACCATGGGTAGTATGGGTGAGAAGATCAACACTGCAAAAATCTAGGCTCGCCACATTGTGCAATAGCGACGGGGCAGCCCCATGGAGCCCATCCACTATGTCCTGGTGCCTTTCCATGACCCAGGTAACTGAGGTCTGGCTGGGATAGTGAAGGGAGGAAAAGCCCAGGGCAAAGGGTTAATGACACTGGTGGGGCAATGGGCCTCATGGCAGTTCCTATGATCCTTGAGCGAGCCTTTCCTGGGTATCTGTGTGCATACAGAAAACAATCAGTCACTTCTTCCTCTGCTTCTAAAATGGCAGCACTTTACATATGAGTTTAATCATGATCCATGCTTAGGCAGGTGGCCTCTGCTTTCTTAGGCTTTAGTACTAATAAGTGATTTTCAATGCTCTTCATTTCCAGTAGACAGAGATTGAGATGCAGTTGAGGCATTGGTGGGTCTAGGTCTCTGTGAAGTATCTGAAACAGATAGTTACATGGTACTCCTTTCCCCGCTATATGGAAGTCAGACAATCTGGCCTGCATCGACCAGTCTTACTGTGTGTCCTTAGGCTGGTCATCTAACCTCTTTGCCTAATTTCATCATCTATAAAATGTGTCACTAGTTGCCTTATCCTGCCTATCTCCCAGGTTTGAAATGATCATCAAATAAAATGCTTGTAGGACTGAGAATTCCCTAAGGCCAGGGTTTGAGTCATATTTGCCTACATAAACCTCATAGTAGCTCACATTAATAGGGGCTTATCACATATTTGATGAAGATATGAATAAATGAATAATTAAGAATTTAGTCACTTATGTGTCAAAGCGCTATATTTACATTTACAAAATCGACTCCTTCAGTCCTCCCAATAACCCTCTGATGTAAGTACTATTAATTCTCTGGCTTTTCTGGTGAGAAAACTGAAGCCCCAGTGGATTTTTTATACTTATATGCATACCCAAAAAGGTCCACTCAGAACCACAGGAAGTGATGCCATTTTGTTAAGGAAATGAGGTCCCTGCTCTGCCCTACCTATATAAATATAAGGGAATGTTGTTATTTCAATACTTGTCCAACCCAAGAGCACAGCGGGCCTCTTGACTGGGTAAGAATGAGGGGAGCCCTCTCCTTACTCATCTCAACCTTCTTTTCTCCTCCCTAGGGTTTGGGCTCATCTTTACAACCAGTGACCCTGACAGCTTCTGGCAACAATTCAATAAGATCCATACCTTGGGAGGTGGAGATGAGCCTGAGATGTACCTGTCAGCCCTGGAGGTCTGCCCTGCCCCCCACTTCTTCTCCTCTCCTTTATAGGCCCCACCTCCAAGGGGAGCGCTAAAGCCTTCCTGGAACCATTACCACCTTCAGAGCTCTGTTCTACTAGCTTCACTCCAGGGTTCCATATTGCCTTCTACCCATTTCCCCATTGCCACCATTTTTAATATCAGTCCTTTCCCCCCGTATTTCTGGCCCTGCTGCACACACCTCCACTCCCAGACATCTTCGTCTTCACTGATGCCTCCCCCAAGGATGCCTTTCACACCAACCAGGTGGAATCCCTGACTCGGGAGCAGCGCTGCAGAGTGAGCATAGCTGGTGGGAGACCCAAAGTTAGCCAACCAGGGATGCAGGAGATGCTATGACAACAATTTCATAATAAGATTCATACCACACTATGGTGGTTGAACCAGGCTTGGCATGGGGTGGGAAAATTGAACGTTTCCTGATCCCTTTAACAACACTAAAGAGGGGGAGGCCCTACCCTTAATGATACTGAATTTATATTTAAACCTGCCCCTGAAAAACCATCTGAAGAATTGGAAATCTAGCTGACAACATCTGCTATGTGGATGTCACATGGTGACAGTTACAACTACTAACTGAAGGCCGGGGGGTTGTGTCATTGGGAGATGCTGTGCAGCAGCCAGATGGTAGACGGAGACCTTACCACTAATCATGAGCTTTGTGGAAAGCTGGAGCACAGGAGACCCTCACGTACAATAGTAAGGACACCTTACTATTGCACTAGGACACCTCAATCACTGGCTTCTCTTCTGGGCACCTAGGACACCTCAATTACTGGCTTCTCTTCTGGACACAGGTAACATTCCTGGTGACCATCAAAGGGTCAGGGCTGAGCTTAGCGTGAGGTCTTGTCCCATTTGCGTTTTGAGCCATATGAAGTGGTGGTCCTAGCCTCAGGAGGAGAGGTGATCTTCACCAAAGATCAGCACATTTGAGATGTGGCGGATATTATTGGGGACAGCATAGCTGACCTGGTAAGCGTAAGGGATAGAGGGACCAATGCTTTCAGCTTAGAACAGAAGGGATGGGTGACACTGCATTTCTCTTTCTCATAGGAGAAAGGGAATGGCTCCCATTGCTGTGTTGCCAGAAAGGTGTCAGAAGAGTGGGAAAGGAAGTTTCTCTCCCTCTGAGATCCATGGCTACCCACTTTCAACACTGCTCCTTCCGTATTAGTACTGTCCCCTTCCCCCCAATCTTGGGCTCGAATTTTCTGTCCTTGGAGCTACCACAGGAAGTCCTGCCATATTTTAAGGAGGGGAGAAGAAATGATTGACTCATCCTTAATCCCTTGCTTGCAACTTTGTCCCTGACCATGACTTCATTCCTGGTCCTATGCCCCTCTCTCACTGGCATCCCTTCTCCAGCTGTGATTTAGTTTCTTTCTGTCTCCACCTTTCTCCTTTGCTCTCACCTCATTTCATGCCTTATCTTGTCCCCATATTTTGGTCCTACCCATCCCGCAAGGTGCTCCTTCCCCTGGAACCTCCTGTTGTGGTGCCTGGGAAGCCACTTGTATTCAATGTGGATGGACTGCTCCAGAGAGTCACAATCCAGATCCACAGGGAGGTCAGCAGCTCCCAGATCAGGAACCCTGAAGGTACTTCCATATGCATCTCAAGGCATAGGGAAGAATGGAGAATGAGTGGTGATGTACTAAGGGAAAATAATTGTTTTATGTGACAATCTCTTGTTCCCCACCCCCACCCAGGGGTCTCCCAGGGCCAGGAGGCAGGCCAGGGGCCTCTAGGTCACACTCGCTGCTTTGGGTAGTTCTGGATGGTGACAATGAATGACCCCCCATAGACAGGGACCTGAGAGATCCAGGTCACAGCCAAGGGCAACCCCCAGGTGAGAGTGCAAGGTAAGGAGGGAGATATTCCTGGGAAAGGAAGGAGACAGGAGCTCAAAGAGCAATGTCACTTACATTCATTCAGGAAGGTCTCTGCCTTCACCTCCCTCAGCCCAGATCTCCCTGGACTTCCTCTTCTACTTTGGGTCTCCCATGAAGGATGGCCTCCACCTTGGCCTCTATCCCCTGACTCAGCCAGTTTCAGGTACATCTCCCCCCCAGACTTGTTCATTAATTTTATATTTATAAAATTATATGTATATTTAACTTTCTACTGAGTTATAATTTATATATAATAACATGCACTAAACTGAAGTGTACAGCTCGATGGGTTTCATATAATACACCTATGGAGCCTTCACTCAGTTAAAAATTCAGAACATTTCCAGCATCCCAGAATGCCCTCCTGACCCTCCCCCAGCGGTAACCCCTATTCTGAAAGCCATTCATTCTTTTCTCTCAGTCTCAGAATCTCATGCAGACCACTGTTCTCCCCGCCCCTCCATGTCCCAGGTCTCCAGACCCAGCTTCTGGTAGAAGTGACAGCGCTAGGCTCCAGAGGTAACCCTCGAGATCCTCTGCTGCATTTCTCCTACGTCGTCTTTGGAGGGTTCCCGGAGGGTGCCGAGCTGGACCGGGTGCCTTTGGAGCTCAAGGGACCCCGGGAGCGAGGCCTCCTCGCTGCCGCGCTTCCGTCCACGCTTCTGTCCGCTGTCGGACCCTTCTCTCTGGAACTGATTGGCCAGCACGGAGAGGGATTGAGGCCTACACCAGGCGGCCCTCCAGACCTGCATTGTGGTCCCTGTCTTTCTGGAGGTGAGACGCTATGGGAAGGTGCGGCTGCGGCTAGGGAGACCTGGGGAGGCTCCTCCCCTGACCTGCCCTCCTCTGCAGCTCAGTGGTCCCCCGGGTTTCGTGGCGCCCCAGGTTTCCTGGCCCCGGGCAGCAAGGCCCTGCTCAGCCTCGCCAGCTTTTTAGCCCTCAGGATCTCGATCTTAAGGCATCTGCCAACTCCAGCTTCGCTCTCACCCCAACCTCTCCAGGTGAAGCCACTGAGTCCTCTTTCTGGCCCCACATTGCAGTTCTCGGGGAGAGGGTATGTAGTACTCACTTTCTAAGCCCCACCTCTGGCCCCTCCCTATTGGCCCTCAGATTCTGCTACCCCCCACCCCAGCACTTGGTCGGTCCCTTGAATCTCAGCTCTTCGGAGCCTGGAACTTCAGCCAGATCTCTGTACCCACTGGACAGGGTTCGCCTGAAACAGAATGAGTCTGCCTGGGGGCGCCTATGGCTGGAGGTCCCAGACTCAGCCATCCCAGACTCCGCGGTGATGGTGACTGTGACTGCGACCGCGATGGGTCGAGAAGCCAGCTCAATGCCACCTACCCACGCCTTCCTCCGGCTCCTAGTGCTGGCCTGGCCCCACAGGTGAGGCACCCCCACTTTTAGTTGCAGGGTAGACAGGGCAAGGAGAGGCTTAATTTGGGTGCAGACACCCTAACAGTCTCTCTTCTCCCCAAGACCAGCTTGTTGTCCTTGCCCATTCATTTGGCCCCGTTTTCACCACAGCCAGCCCCGCCTTTCTTCCCTCCTCTTCCGTGACTCCCGCAGGGATTGGGGAAGGGCTGGCAGGCAAACCTTGGTGGGGCACAGTTGAAGGTGTGCTGTTCCTCCTAGGCCTGGCCTTCTGGTGACAACAGCTCCTAGAAGGATGGGTCTTTAGCGCTATTTTCTTTTTCATTTTTCAATTAGAGTTGACATTTAATATTATATTAGTTTCAGATATACAGCATAGTTAGACATATTTATATAATTTACGAAGTGATCTCCCTCATTAGTCTAGTATCCACTTGGCACTATACATAGTTATTACAATATTATTGACTCTATTCCCTATGCTGTACTTTATAACTCCTCCAGAGCAGTTTTCAATCTTGCCCTATTAGAAGGTAACATGGGCCTCAGGACCTTACCTACCTCTCCTGGCTGGGCTGCAGGTTTTCCTTCTCGTGCACTTGTCCCTTCTCTTTTCTTAGCGAGATTGGGATAGAGGGCAATAGATTCTCCCACAGTGCACTTTCCCTAACCCTCGTAGGAACCAAACTAAAGACTTATTTTTGGAGAAAGTTGCTTTCTATTTCTCTGTATCATCTTTATTCCATTACCTGTTCTTGCCCTCCCAAGCTCAGGTAGAGGGAGAGATGTATGGGGAAAAGAGGAAGGTTGAGAGTGGGGTAGGAAGTGTTATTTATAGAATTGTTTTTATTTGAAATTCTAAAGAAGCTTCTATTTTATTTTTGTATTTAAAATTGAAGGACAGTTTCAATAAACATGTCTTCTCCCCAGAGGGCTTTCAAAGAAAGATCATTTATAAGTGTAAGATACCAAGAAGATAAAATGAAAGTTTTCAAGAGCAGAGAAGAAACTTTACACCAAGATGTTTGGGCTCCAGTTGACCCACCTCCTGGAGCTATTTAGCTGTTGAGTTGATTAGGCAGAATAAGGAGGCTGGGGGTTCTGACTCAACCTCCTCTGTCACCAACTTAGGGGAATGAGAGGAGGCCTTAGACACTGGTAGGGCCCCTCTGCCCCTTGGGGCAGCCCAACTGAGCCATCTCCCCTTTTGGCTGAATGACTCCTTTCTGCTGCCTTGACAGTTCCTGGAGGAGAGCAGAGAAACAGTTTAGGCATCTGTGCTCTGCCCTTCCCCCACTCTCTTCCAGTTTACCTGTTGTTGCCACAAGTTCTGCTTCCTTGGCCTTCCCTTCCAATCCTGGGTGGCGCAGGAACTAGCCTGTTCAAGGGACATGGAGAGAACAGGGGGAATATTCTCTGTTCTCCGTAAAACCAGTGTTGACCTCAAGTCCCCTCTCTACCCCAACTTCCCAAAAGTCTAAAGTAAAACCAATAAACTCACCTTCCCCTGAATCAGATTCTGCAACCAGATGTTCACCTTTTGAATGTGGGCCAACTGGGGGCCACCAGGCTCTGAGTATAAATCTGTTAGAAAATTCTAAAGGAGGAGTTGGAGGCTGAGAATGTGGTGAAAATTTGAGGTCTATCTGCCACTCTTCTATCACCACAGGCCATTCTTCTTTTCCATCTGGATCCTCTCATCCCAATACCCCTCCAAGACATGTGGAAAAATCCAGTATTCACTCCACCTCTAACAGACTAGTTCCTCCATCCCCCCCAAATAGCACAGTACCCTCTTTTTCTTTATGGATCCTCCCTGTCCATCCCTGACCCATTGGAATAATCCCAGCCACTCCCCCATGCCAATGGAGTAATCCAAATCACGTCCCTCTGAATGGAATGCAGACCAGCCTCCTCCAATCCCAACAATGAACACCAACTTAACACTTGGTGCCATCCTGTCATTATAATGCTGCTTCCAATTCGTGATCCCTGCCCATTAACTCTCTCCTTTCCAGGGTGGTGTCAGGCTGTGTCCACACGTCCCTGCTCCCCATCCCCACACACCTCAGGGCAGCCTCATACCTCACCAAGGGCCCCCACACGTAGCTGCTGTTGCTGTGCCTCCCTCAGATGGCCTTCAAACCAGGCCTGGCTATGCTTCAGCAGCTCCAGCCCCTGCCACAGGGCATCCTGTTCCCTCTCCAGAGCCTGCATCCTCTGCAGCTAGAAAATGCAAGAAGCAGAGGCTGCCTCACTTTACAGCAGAACCCTGGGCCATGGTCTCACAACTCCTGCTTGGGTTCACTGTCTGGTCATGGAATGTGAGCCTGGACTGACCACTGAGGATCTGGAGGGCAAGGGGAAGCAATGGAGAAGACTTATGAGTCCTCAAAATTGAGTGGAAATGTAGGGGGCAGATCTAGGAAGAGGGGCTTTCCCTGGGTCCCCTTGTTAGACTAATACTCACCCAGAGGAAGAAGCTCCGGGCTCCTGGGTCTTGGCGGCTTGTCCCCAGTGGTAGCAGCAGAACTGTGTAGGGGGCCTGCACCAGGGGCACCCTACCAGGACCCAGGCTGTCCATGGCTCTGATGTGGTAAGGGTGGAGCCACACACACTGGTGGCCAGGGCTGGTCCCTCCCCTTCCCCCCTGACTTGCAGTCCTACTTAGTCTTTCAGCCTCTTAGAGCCCTTTCTGCTGTGTCTGTTTGAAGCTGGGGTATTCCCACTTAAGTGGAAAGACCATCTCCTTTGGGCTCTGTCTTCCCTCTCATCTGTTTTTGTAGGGTATGTTGAAGTTGGTTCTCATGAAGCCCCCTGGGTAGATCCCCTTTTGTCTTCTTATAGCAGTGTCACTGTATTTTTAATGACGCAGGTAGACCCCTCTGTGGACTCTTGCCTGACATTTCATCTTTTCCTATTCTCTTGATTTGTTTTGGCTGGTCTAAGGAAACAATAACTTTCTCCAAATAAACTTTATTTATAATATGAAACAAAATTTCTGGGGAAACTGAGAACGCTGGGTCTGAAGAAGATAAAGTTACAAAGTGGGCATGGCAGCACACCGGGGTTTGGAAAGTAGAGGAAGGCCGAGGAAGGACTCTCAAAGGATGGTAGAGGCCGCAGGCAGTACTTCCTGACTCATGAAAATGTCCAGGTCCAGGTTTGGATCTTCCAAATCCAGTTTCAGAAACTTATCTACCAATGTCTGACAACTGAGGGGAGAGAGAACAGTGAGATTTATGAAAGAATAGACAACTGAGTCCTTGAGCAGAGCGGAGAGGCTATGGCACAGGAAACCTGGGACCTTGAAAATTTAGAGATTTCAGAAAGAAACAGTGGGTCATTGAAAGGCAAAGAGGCTCTCTGAGACCCTGAAAGGGGAAAAGAGCTGCAGAAGATGCCAGAGAGCGCAAGGACCCTGGGTTACACACTCACTTTTCCATTTGCTTCTCCTTTAGTAACTCCTTGACAGGCTTAATGGGTTTTCCATTGCGGATCAAGTCTGAGACCTAGAAACAAAAAGGAATGGGGAAGGGGTGGGGGGAGTTGGGTAAGAAAAGAGGAAATAAGGGTCAGAAACCCCATGGGCCCAGAAACTCAGGCCTCTGAGAGGAGCAGGGACAGTAGAAGGGAGCCCTGACAGAGGTGGTTGACATCTGGATCTCAGCACCTCCTTGCCACGAGCAATGAGTTTGTCAGGAAGCCTGGCCTGGGCAGCTGTGTGGGAGGCATGGCTGGCGTTGGCGACACCTTCGCAAACTTGATAGAAGAAGATAAGGTCGTTTCCATCTTCACAGGTCTCCATGGTCTTAGAATAAAAGGGTACACTGTGACATTATCACTATTTCCTGCCCTGAAACCCTTGGCCAATCCCTGTAGGGAGTAAGAAAAGGGAAGGGATATGGTCCCTGCGCTCAGGGAGCCCCCGTTCTGATGGAGGAGCCAGTCCCCAGCTCTGGGAAACACTTGGCTTAGGGGCCCTTAGGGGGCTAGATTAGTTTTCTTACCAAGTACTGCACAAGGGGCCCCTGTGGCAGCAGCTGTAGCTGAATGAGGCTCAGAAAATTGGTGGTCACAAAGATGTGGGGGCACATGGGTCCAAGTGCCAACCAGTGTCGGAGGACAGCAGCCAGAAGTGCAAGGCCATCCACCTGTGTAGAGGATGGGGTAAGGGTGTAGAACCATGGGTGCCCCGCGGGTCCCCCTCCACCTGCTCTGGCCTTTCCCATCTTGTGCTTTTCTGTTTCTTTTCTGCCCACATAGCGCTGTTCTTTTCCTGAGGCCCAGCCTCCCCATTGTGCTTTGTTCTCCATTTCCCCCTTCTTAGTTACTCATCATTTTCTCCCCTCACCGTGTTGGTTCCCTTTCCGAATTCATCAATAAGGACCAGAGACTGTTCAGTGGCGTTGTTCACTGCTTTTGCCACCTACTGGGCACCAGGTGGACAAAGGAGAGTTTCATTAGCATTTGAGGCCTGTAACACACTGACCACAGTCTGCTTGTGAATAAAGCTGCTTGTATATGTGTCTACCCTACTGGACTACATATTCTTTAGCCCTTTTCCTGTTTGCCCCGATATAACTTGAGGATTACGGTCCTAACCTTACCCCCAAAGTTTTCCATGAAATGTCTTACTTTTATTATTATTTTCACATTGCTCTAGTATATCGATAGTCTTTGGAAACAAATGACATTGTTTTATTTACAATATTCTATTTTTAGTAGTTTGATCGCTGAAAATGTCAAATCCTAGAAAACATAGCATTCCTACATGAGTTGTACTTTTTTTTTTTCTAAATGAGAAAAGGATTAGTGGCAAGGGGCATGTTTTGTTCATCCTTTCATTGCCAACAGTGCCTCATACAAAGCAAGGATTCAAAAGAGGTCCCTTTGTGTAGAAGGCAGGCAGCAGAGGGAATGTTTTTCCTGTTCTGATCATTTTTCAAGGGTAGAGTTCCTTCTCCATTATCCCCCTTCCCCAATCCCACCTCTTTTTGCTCCCTTTGACCTGGTTGAGGTCGATCATGAAGGTGGAGAGGCCAAGGGAGATGGATTCACAGCTATGAATTCTGGTGAAGATGGCATCTACTGCCCCAATTTCAGCTTCCTCTGCTGGTACAAAGCTGCCCACCAGGGCCATGAATGTGATCAAGCCTACCTAAACAGGGAAGGAGACAAGGCCTGGTAGTATGGGCTGAGGTGAAGGTAAGGCTAAACTAAAGAGTAAATGATAGATCAAGGAGAGACAGATACAGTTTAATAGAAGATCATAGCCCCTTCTGCTCACTTTAGAATCAGTAGAGAGGGACAGGCAGTGGGTAGAAGCACATTGGAGAATGGCATGGACCTATTCAGAGGTGGGGGAAGAGAATTGAAGCCATGGAAAGATATATTAGGGTATGGTTCCCCTTCAAGTAGAAAATGCAACAGGTAAGGTAGAGGAGCAGGGGATATGGATTATAGTCTCTTCATGACAGGCAGGGTCAGAACACAGCAGAAGAGCTGCAGGAAGCTGGGTTGGCTTGCAGGGGTGGGCTGAGACAATGGAGAAGATGCCAGAGGCCCAGTGTGTAAGATTCTCCTACCTGTTTGAGGTATATGCTCTTCCCTGAGGAGTTAGGCCCGGTGATGACTTTGACCCTTCCTTTGTCCCCACCGCATTCTGCAGAATTGGGCACGAATGTTCGGGCACAGAGTTCCATCAGAGGATGTCTGAAGTAGATGGAGAGGTACCTCACACATGGTCTGTAGATCCAGATGGATGAAGCTCCCGAAATATGAGGCCTTTGGGCCCCTCGTTTCTATGCCTCCACCTCACTCTGTTCTCACCTGCCATTCTGGATTCGTACTCCAAGGAGTTGTGGGGAGTAATGGGGCCTTGAGTAGCCATAGTCCCGGGCAGCACTGGCAAAAGCCAGAAGGACATCCAGGCGGGAGGCAAGGTCCAACACCCGGGTCAAGACAGCTGCCCGCGCCAGCACCTGACACTGCAGCTGGTACATCAACAGAGTCTCCTGGTCTGAGGGTGGATGATGAAGAGCTGGGGGTTAGCTCCAGGGGAATATGAAGGAGAGACAAAGACACCAGTAGAGGGACCTGGAAACAGGCTTGCAGATACAGTATGAGACACCCAGAGACATTCAGAGAAGATTCAGAGTCAGAATGGGAGACGAGAGAAAGAAGAAAAGGAGCCTGTTATAATCATCTTTAAGTTGCCCACTCTCCTCCAGCCTTTCATTTCTCCTCACCCCGGATGTCGCAGTGCAGGTCCCCCAGCAATGCATCCAGCTCCTTGGTTTGAGCACTACGATAGTGAAGCTTCCCCTCTAAGAGAAACTGGGTAAGAGGGTTCGAGCTGGGGGTTTTGCACCTCTTGGTCTTCATCCTTTCCCACCTTTCAAACCCCACTCCCAGCTCCCCTCCTTGACTTCCTTCTCCTTTATCTCAGAGCTAATAAATATCAAAGTAAAACTACAGAAAAGAGATCCCATATTGGGCAGTGTTGATGGGGTAAGGTCCTCCGCCAGCTGCTGATTCATTTTCCTTATTACCGCCAGTGGTCGAGGGTCTTACCATGAAATCCAGTCCCTCAATCTCAAAGTCACTGGCCTCTACCATGAAAGGCAGGCGAGGAATAGAAAGAAGGAAGCCAATCTGGGGAGAGTATAGAAGAGATAAAGCAGTGTGATATACTGGGTACCTTCTCTCCCTAGAGGAAGCCAGAGTCCCTTGTATTCCCAATGCTTCCCTCAGGGGGCTAAAGCCACCATAAGGTATTCATGTTCTTCAGACTTCTCCAGAAGTTCTCTAATCTACCAATGTGTCCTTCATAAGCCTATTATCTCCCCTAAACACCCCTAGAAACTACACCCACTCTTCTGCCCTCACCAGAGGGATGTAAATGACACTGCATGAAGGAATACGGGAATCCAGATTGTCCAGCTCCTTCCAGGCGACCTCAGTGAGGAAACTGGGAAGTCCCATCAGCCTTCGTTTTTCTAGCAGGGTGGAATACATGTGGATATCAAAAGTAAGGTTCCTGACATGGTTGCTAAAATTATCCCCAGTTGTAGTGGCCACCTGCTGAGGATGGGACCCCATTACTGTGGAGGCCCATATCTCAGGGCTCACAGATCCACCCGCACGCCCAACACTCACTCTCATCGACTTCAGGATCTATGTTGGGGAGAATTGTGAAGTGATTTGCAGCATGACTACCTTCAAAGTCCACCTGAGGAGACAAGAAGTCCAGTTGCTTACTATCCAGCACCATCTCTCAGTCCCGTTCCTCACCTCTACTTGGGCCCCAATTCTCCCTGCAGTCCCTGCTCTATCATTAACCCTCCAAGCACATCCCTGATGTTCTGCCAACTCCTCTCACCATCCCATTCTTTAGACATTCGGCTGACTTCAATGTCTCCCATGCTTCCCCATCTTTCACACCACAGAGTCCAGTCCCTCTTCATTGTCCAACCCCATCTCTTGCCCCTAGTTCCCCAGAGGCTTGGCTTTTTTTTATTCTACTCACCACTTTCCCAATGAGTCTGGCGATATGGTGCAGGTCATCAGAGAACTCTTGGG